ATGAACATGTGTGCATGAACACACAAGCGCACACATGTATGGATCCCCAGACACTCACACATATGCACACTTTCACATACCTCTTGCACACATGCACACACCCAGGTATGCACATGCACACACGCAGAGGCATAAGCATCTGCACAGATGACGCCATGCACATGCACATGTGCCTTCAGGAAGAGGCTCATACATGGACACACAGAAACAAAGCTCACACCCACCTCTCACGTGCACACACACAAGTCCATTCTCACATTGTTGTTCTGCTTTTATATCAGGCATGCCTGGCACACGCTCACCAATGGGAGGTTATACTGAAACACTTGCTACCACAAAGGGTCAAGGCTCATCCCTGCCACTACCCCACCCAGCACAGACAAAGCCTGTGCTCATGCAAATGTATGTTCCCAAACGTGCCCACCCAAGGGCCACTGCCCGGGCTCACCTGTACTACACAAACACACACACACATATACACACACAAACATCTCTGCACCCCCATAGCCTCTGGCCCCTCTCCACACCCAAGCAGCAACCCCTACTCCACCGAAACCTCCCCTACCACCTTTTCAGCAGATCAAGCAAGAGGCTTAGAGGCTATCAGTCAGGGACCCCAAGGAGGGACCCAGGAAAGAGGAGAGGAGCAATGAGAGGGTGCAGTCAAAATGTTGGGAAGGGGAGAAGAGGCACAGACTGGCTGACTTACACAACGAGAGACAGCAAGAGAGAGAGAGAGGGAGAGAGAGAGAGAGAGAGAGAGGGAGAGAGAGAGAGAAAGATGGAAAGGTTCAATGAGGAGGGTGGGGGCAGAAGGGCAGAAAAACAAAGAGAGAGTGAAACAGAGACACTGAAAGAGAAACTGACAGGAAGACACTGTCAGAGAGATAGTGACAAGTAAGAAGGAAGACAGATAAGGGAAGGGAGACAGCGAGACAGATAGATAAGGACAGATAGCTACAGAAAGCAAGACAGACAAGAACGAAAGAAGAATGAGTAGGCATTCAGGTCTAGGGGACGGCTGATGCCCTGGGCCCTGCCTGACTGCTGGATCTGACGTACCAGGGAGTTCCTGAGAACTCAGCTGCCCTGCAGTGACATGTTAGTGTGCCCCCCCACCCCACAAAACACATGCCAGGGGCCCCTGACTCACTGCCGGTTCTCAGAACTCTCCCCCTCTACCCTCTAACTTTCCCTACCTTATAGGAACCAGGACCAGCCTAAGTGACCCCTCCCTTCCTCCTTTCCTCCCTTTCCAGCCTTGGCCCCACCAGGACAGCCAGGATCAGATCCTAAGTTTCCCTGTGGACTTAGTGGAGACCTAGAAAGTAACCTCCACTGACTACAAGGGAGGCCAGGTGCCTGTTCTACCCATCCCCCAGCCCCTGCCCAGAAGGTTTCAAACTGTAGGGACCCAGGGAGGGAGTGAGAATGCGGTGGGCTGGCAGGGTGTGTGTGAGCTGTCAGGCCAGCGTGCTCAAAGCTGCCTCATTCGTTTGGATTCATAATCAATCTGTCTATTCGAGTCCATTATCTCCTCGTTAGCTCTGCGGGTGAGGGAGGAGGGAGGCGCTGTGCAGGCAGTGAGGAGGGGGTGTCAGGCTGCAACCCCACCCAGGGGGACATCTCAGCTTGCCACCCTGCATGCCTCCTAGTCCCCAGTCCTGGCCTGTCCACTTCCCCTACCACTCCATCCCTACCCTGCTGGACCCACTTGGGACTTGGAAGGAGTTGGGAAATGCGAGCCCTGATGGCAAGCACTCGGGAGTCTGGACCCCAGTTTGAAGGCCCAGGGTGATGAGAGAACTGGACTAAGACTGGCAGCCTGTCTCTCATGCCCCCTCCCATCATGCAGAGACATAGGCCCAGACCAAGACAAGGCCATCTCCTCTACTCCTGGTCTCCCTGGAGCTATTAGAGAGATTGAGTACCTTCCCGTTGATTACCATAAGATACACGAGTAACTCAGTGCCAATTATTGCAAGCTGCTCAAGTAACTTCCAGACATTGATGATCCTCACCTTGATACCTTCCAGCCCATCACTGCATGGGGCCAGGGTTCCTTGTCCACCCTGTAAACCCCAGGCCACAGGAGGAGGATTTTCTCGCAGTTCCTCCCCTCTTCTAGATGTCTTGCTGGCCATGATAGCCATATGTAATATTCAAGTATTTTCCAGCCATCACCATGTGATGCCTGAGTACCTCCAGGCCAGTCATCACTGCATACTCCCATAGGTTTCATCAGCTGCTAAAAAGTACTTCAGTATTTTGTAACCAATTCCTGCAGAATGTCAGAGTCCTGCAGAATGCTGAAGATTCCTCCCAGCTTTGTGTACCAAAGGGAGGAGGGTTTCTCAGCAAGGGCCCTGACTCCCCGCCCCGGGTTGGAGAGGGAGATGGGAGTGGAGAGAGAAAATCCAGGAGGGGGTCCCATTTCCCAGATCCAAATCAAGGGGTTCTGGGGAAAGGAATGGTAAAAATGGAAAGAGGAGAGCTCACCCACCCAGCTCCTTACCACCTCCCACCAATGTCAGCCAGCTCAATCCCCAATTCCAGGAGAAAAGCTGGGGTTGCCTCCTCATAACAAGGAAGTGGGTGGGGGCTGGCTTGCCCCTAGAAAAGGGAAAAGGTAGTAAGGGTGTCAAACTGGGAACTTCTCTGCTGGTAACCACCTTTCTCTGTTGGACAGAGCAGGAGCCTCTGACTGAGTTCCAGAAAGCAGCTTCTAGACGGCTAGGCTCTCTCAGACCTGGTCCCCGGAGATACTCCCCTCGATCTCCCTGAAGCCGGCGGCCCAGCTGCCCTGAACACTAGGGGACATCCAGGCAGTGACCGTAAAGGTTGCTAGGGCAGCAGCGGCTGCGGAGGAACGCCCGTGCACCGCCAAAGGCTGCGTCGTGCCAGCCTTCCGTTGTACTCGCCCTGCCTGACCAAGCAAACAAGCGGAGAGTCCGCGCCCTCGGGGCATGGCAATTCCTGCCTGTCCCCGCGCCCCCTCGCACGCCCGACACTCACAGCTCAGTCAGGTTCTCTGCGCCGGGCAGGTGGTGGAGGCTATCCAGGGCCCCATCCCGTGTGCATCGCAGTCCCGAGGAGCCGTGGGGGCAGCAGGCATCGGGGCAGGGTGAGGCGCCCGCAGATGCCAACATCAGCCAAGCCAGCAGGCTGCCCGGCCCCGCAGCCCAGCTGTGCCAGCCGAGCTGCCTGCGCCGTCCGCCTCGCAGCATCGCGGCGGCGCCCGCCTTGCTCCGGCCGGGCAGCCGTCTGTGCGCTCTCAGCTGCTGCTGCCAGGCCTCCCCCGACATGTGCGCTGGGCGGTGTTAAAGACCCAGCCGCCAGGAAAGGGCGGAGCCAGTCGCCCCCGCCCGGCCCCGCCCCGCCCCTCGTCTCCACCCCCTTCTCTCCCCTCTGACGCCCCCAACTCTGCCCCCTCTCCTGTTAGGGGCCCCCAGCGTCAGCCTTCTCCCCGAGGATCCCCCCCAGCTCCGGGAGATGCAGAGGGGCCGCAGCAGAACGCCTCGGAGGTGTCTGCTGAGGCCGGGGGTGGGAAGTTGATACGTTATTTCTCTCAGCTTAAAGCAACTGCATTTTTACATTTGGGGAGGAGGGAAGATGATTGAGTTGAGGAAAGGTTGCTGTCCAGGTCATCCTAGTCAGCCCCAGACTCGGCGCTCCATCCTCACCGCGCGCGTGCCTGGGGGAGTGCACATGCCACTTGGAGTAAGTTAGGTAGAACATTTTCCGAACTCTAGGAAGAAAAGAAAAGGACTACCAAAGATCAATCGCAGAACCTGGGGAGGAAGACACAGACCGGGCAGAGAAAGGGAAGGGTCGCTTGATCTGGCCGAAGGGAGTCCAGAGAGCTAAGACCGCGCCTCCAAGAGAAGCCACAGGGTGGCGCGAGAAGCCCGCCCGGGCTGGGTGGCTGGGGGTGCGATCTGCAGCCCCCAATCAGCAACGCCTCAGGTCTCAGCTTCAGTCCCTGACCCGGCCAGCCAGCGCCGGCCCCGGGGCAGGATAGGGTAAGGCAGGGCAGGGCTGACATCGATCGCCTCCCTGACAAGAGCATCGATTTATTCGTGAAGAAATTAATAGATCTCTTAGCTCCTCGGACGGGGGAGCCGCCCGCGGGTGGAGCTGAGGACCGTGCACCTTGGTGGCCGCGCACCTGGAAAGCCCCGGGATCCCCAGCACCCAGGGCAGCAGAAGGCTGGTCCCAACCCCTCCCACCGCGCAAGCCTCTGTGGCTGCACGAACCCGTCCGTCTCAAGCTGAGGAGAGCAAGGGGAAGAGGGGTCTCTCTTGGCGGGGAGACAGGCAAAGCCCCAGGGAGCAGGCGAAGGATGGCCTCCTAGAGGCTCGCGGTTCTCCTCTCCGCCAAGGCCCCAGCATGGATGGTCCCCCAAATCCCCGAGACAGGGACACACTGACCGACCAAGCAGCCTGAGTTCAAGAAGGTGACCAGACGGAGGCAGAGCCCCACACAGTGATCGCCTTCTTCATCGGTCAGAACCAAGGGACTAGGCGGTGACGGAGCCTGGCGCTAAGGGGTCTCCAAAGAGGACAGGGAGGCCTCCTGGGAGGCTGAGAGGGGCTCTGAGAGGCCAAAGGCTGTCCACGTTCTCCCGGGTCGAGGCTGCCAGAAGTTACCCGGCAGGTGTCAAGGCACCGGGAAGCAGAATCTAGACACAGTCCTCCCCAGAAGCCCGGGCGCTGGCTGCCCCTCCGGCGGTGCAGCCCCACTTGGAAGAAGCCTGTGGTGGGGACAAAGGGTTGGGGGGACCCGCTGCAGCCGCAGCGGGATTTGAGGAAGCTCAGTTCTTGGCCCACCCTTCCCCCCGTATTTTGGCCTTATTTCCCCAACAGATACGTCCTCCCCTCAGTTGTTAGGCTAAATATTTTGGCTTGACTGGAGGGGCGGAGAGAACGGAGAGGTCCCTGCGAACCAATCTGTTTCGGCGGGGGGCGGGGAGGGCGGGAGCTGGGCGCGGCCCCTGCGTGCCTGCCCTGGGAAAGACCGCAGTCAGCGCGGTCAGCTGGCGCTGGGGGGGCCGCGCGCCCGGAGGGATCCAGGGAGACTCTCCCCGTGGAGTCTCACGCGTCCCGGGACCCCCGCTGCCCTCCTTGGGAGCGGTCCCCAGCCTTCTGCTCTGCCCTCAGGGTTGGCTGGCCTCTCGGCCTGCCTTTTGCTCAGAACCCTGTGTCATTTTCTCTCTCTCCCTGTCACTGTCTGCATCTCTGTCCCCATCTCTCAATCTCATGCTGCGTCTCTCTGTCTCCAGCTGCCTGTCACTGTCTTTGTGTCTCTGTGACTCTCATTTCTTTTTTTCTGTCTCCTGCTATCTCTGTGTGGGATTCCTTGTCTCTCTGTCCCTGCCCTCCCTCTCCTATCTGAACCCTGGTCTCTGTGTCCCTTAGGGCTTGTCAAATCCTTCTCCCCAGGGTCACCAGGAGGAGAGCCGGGACTGGACACAAACCAGGGCTGGGACAATGGCAGTGCCTAGTCTGTGGCCCTGGGGAGCATGCCTGCCTGTGATCTTCCTCTCGTTGGGATTTGGCCTGGATACAGTAGAGGGTGAGTCCCCAGAACTGGCTCCCAGACCCCTACCTCCCTCCCAGCCAGCTGGGAGGCCAAACAACTGAGCTTGCAGCCACAGCACATCCACTTACTCTGCACTGGAACACAGAGGCTGGGGTTAGCTCTCCAGAGAACTACCCAGCAGAAAAAGCAGTTAGTTCCCCACATAAAGGTGTTTTTCCCTCAGCTCCCTGAGAGGTGAGAAGAGCTTCAAAACGAGGATGAGTAGATATCTTCCATCCCTACTAGTTAAACTGCGATCCCAGTGAAGCTTGCCTGAAAACCCAAATGAGGCCATGAGAGTGTTAGAAGTCATCTCTAGGGCCACTGAATGGGAAGAGGCAGGGGTGGGATAGGTAGCTGAGAACCAGGCACCATTAAGTAATGGAGGCAATGTTGCCTACAGGAAACTGCAGCTCTGAGAACTAAGGGTAAATCTAGACTGGGTCCCAAGCTCCTGCCTCCAGGGCCCTGTCCTGTGTCCCGCCTCTTAGGGCGCAATCCCTACAGGGAGGAAGGCTGGTTTTGGGGAAAGATTGCTTTTCCTCAACACCCCAGGGCCTGTCCCACAGGCTAGATACTTCCCACGAATACGTTTTAGACAGGAGGGGCGGGGGCACTCTATAGACTAAATGACCCTCATGGAGGTACTGGGGGCTTGGTAGAAAGAGGAAAAAGAGCTGAGGGTGGAAGCTTCAAAAAGGGAAAGAGTAAGAGGTATCCCCTTCCCCAGTCCCACCATTCTCTTCCAAACTGAAGCAGCTCAGGAATCCAGACTCTGGGCTTGCCCCAGGGGTCCTATGATGCTCCTCGGACTGGGGGCTCCCAGGGGCAGGGGAGTCTCCTCTTCCCATGGAGACAGGAGAGTGATGCAATGGGCTAGGTAGGAGGTCCCCTGAAGGGTGCTAGTCACAGAGCCTCTGTCTGTAAGGCATAGCACCACTCCCCCAACCACCGAACCCCCCTCCTCTTCTGCACGGCACATGCCAGCTGGGAGTGTGGTTGTCAGGACAGGAGCACGTCCTTGCAGGGGCCAGTATTTGCTTAGGGGACCCAGATGTTCTGTTCCCAGTGCAGCTCTGCATAGAGCCAGGTCCTGAGGGAAGGCAGGGGTTAAATTGTGAAGGTTTTAGATTTGTTTTTCCAAATGACTCCCATCAGGGGAGCCCTGGAGAGGCAGGGGCATGATGGGAAGTGGGCGCCTGAGAGAACCCCCATCTGCCTGGCAGAGCCTGATTGGCTTTCGCCTGGAAGGGATAGAAGTGTTTTCTCATTCTCTCTCCCTCTTTTCTGTGTGTGTACCTGTGTGGGCTCAGACACACACACACACACACACACAGAGCTGCTGGGCAGAGCCAAGCTCAGGACCATTAATGACAACGGGGAGAAGATGTGAAGTAACCCCCAGGGAGTCAGCCTTGCCTGCCCACCTCTCTTAACAAACTATCAGCAATGAGGCCTGGAGAGCGTGGCATGTGGCGTGTGGTGTCTGTGATAACACCGGAGGGCTCGGTGGGAAGGGAAGTAGAGGCTGGAGACATTGTCAGGAGCTGAATGTCAGGCTGAAACATTCAAACTTGAATCTTCCGCAGTGGGGAGCCACGGAAGGCTCTCTTGGGAGCAAGTGAGTCCAGGGAGAGAAACGGAAGTGGGGCTTGGGCTCTAGTGAAGAAGCCAGACACATCCAGGTCCCCAAGGAAGGAGTGGACTTGGGATCCAGACATCCATTGTCCATGGTTCCTGAGTGCCCAGTGGTTCCAGCCCTGGACTGGGCACAACTGAGGGAATGCAGAGCTGACTGACAAGGGTCCCACCCTCCTTGGAGGGGGTGACAGAGATGTATACAAAAATTTTGGAGCAATGCCCCCAGGTAATCTGATGTGGGCGCTGGACTAAGTGTAGCTGAGCCTGAAGGGGAAGTGATTAACTCCAGGCCAGAGGGTCAGGGAAGGTAGGTCTGTCCCTAGAGGCTGAAGGACCCTTCTGAGGCTGGAGGCATTAGTAAGGAACAGTTTATCTACACCCTACAATGTCAGGCTGAGGAAATGAAACTTGAATCTTTAGCAATGGAATGTCCCTTCAAGAGTAATCAAATTAATTCAGGGAACAGGCATCCAACTCCCTTAAGGCTGGGAGAGACATGGGACCTATGAAGCTCAGATCACTTCTTCCCAGTCACAGAATTCACTCATTCATTCATTCATCAGTTATTTATTGAGGGCCAATTTTGTGCCAGGAGCTATACCAGCTACGAGGGTACAACATGAATTATACAAATATCCCTGCCCTTATGGAGCTTACAATAAACAAAATATATCTGTTTCTATAAATAAATATCTATATTAATATATAAATTATATTTTAGCCAGTGTTAAAAATAAGTATATGGCCAGGCATGATAGTTGATACCTGTAATCCCATCACTTTGGAAGGCTGAGGCGGAGGGATTACTTGAAGAGCCAGGAGTTCAAGGATGGAGCGAACTATGATCCTGCCACTACACTCTAGCCTGGGCAACAGAGTGAGACCCTGTCTCAAAATATTATACACACACAAACACATACACACAAACACATACACACACACACTAGTCAGTTTTAAGAATTATAGAGAAAAATAAAGCAGAAGGGGGAGTAAAGAGTGTCACAATTTTATTTTATTTATTTTATTATAATTATCTTTAGACAGGGTCTCACTGTGTCACCCAGGCTGAGTGAAGTGGCGTGATCACAGCTCACTGCAGCCTTGACCTCCTAGGCTCAAGAGATCCTCCCACCTCAACCTTCTGAGTAGCTGAGACTATAGGTGTGCACCACCATGCCTGGCTACTTTTTGTATATTTTTGTAGAGATGGGGTTTCGCCATGTTGCCCAGGCTGGTCTTGAACTCCTAGGCTCAAGTATTCTTCCCACCTTGGCCTCCCAAAGTGCTGGAATTACAGATGTGAGCCACTGCACCCAACCAGTGAAAATAGAAGTCAATTTTAAATAGGATATTCAGGCCGGGCATGGTGGCTCACGCCTGTAATCTCAGCACTTTGGGAGGCCAAGGTGGGTGGATCGATTGAGGTTACGAGTTGGAGACCAGCCTGGCCAACATGGTAAAACCTCATCTCTACTAAAAATGCAAAAAATTAGCTGGGTGTGGTGGCGGGCACCTGTAATCCCAGCTACTCGGGAGGCTGAGGCAGGGGAATCGCTTGAACCCAGGAGATGGAGGCTGCAGTGAGCTGAGATTGTGCCACTGCACGCTAGCCTGGGTGACAGAGTAAGACTCCATTATCAAATAAATAAATAAATAAAATTGGATGGTCAGAGAAGGCCTCTTTGAGAAGGGGACATTTGGCCAGACTTATGGAGGTGAGCAAGCCAGAGGGAAGAGGGTTCTGGCCAGAAGGAAGAGAAGGACAAAGACCCCAAGGCAGGAGCTTTGCTGGCTTGTCACAGTAGTAAAACTCCTGTTATATATAAGGAATAGCAAAGAAGTCAATGTGGCTGAAGAAGATAAAAAGGATGAAATCAGAGAGGCTATAGGGGCTCAAATCGTGCAGGGCCCTGTAGGCTGCGGTAAGATCAAGACAGATGGAAGTCATGAGGGGTTATATGCAGAGGAGAAACGTGATCAATCTGTGTTTTGAGATCACTCCGGCTGCAGAGTGGAGAATGTCCCAAAGAGGGACAAGGGTGGAATTGGGGAGACAGTTTGAGAGGCTATTACTGTCAATCCAGGGGAAGATGATGGTGGAAGCTATGAAGGTGTCGACAAGCAGTTCAGATTCTGGACATATTTTAAAGATAAACCTACAGGATGTAGAAGGTGAAAAAGAAAGGTGTTAAGAGTGACTTTAGGTTGGGAGCCTGACTGCAAGAATGAAGTTGCTATTAACTAAGAAGGGGAAATGGGCTTGGGAGAGAGGGTCAGGAGTTCATTTTTGCCTGTGTGGCTTATCTGGTAGAGACCCTGCAGACTGCAGGTGAGCCCTCCGGGGCCCAGGGAGGAGACCACCCCACACCCGGAGCAGAGCCTGGCTTCTCACTCATTGTCCTACTGCCAGTGTGGCTCCCCTCCAAAGCTGCCAGGACTGGATGGGGAGTTTGGCCTGGGCTGTACTCAATGCTGCGTGCCATGTATGCCCACAGTGTGTCCCAGCCTGGACATTCGCTCAGAGGTGGCAGAGCTCCGTCGACTGGAGAACTGCAGCGTGGTGGAGGGCCACCTGCAGATCCTGCTCATGTTCACAGCCACCGGGGAGGACTTCCGTGGTCTCAGCTTCCCTCGCCTCACCCAGGTCACCGACTACCTGCTGCTCTTTCGTGTCTACGGACTGGAGAGCCTGCGCGACCTCTTCCCCAACCTAGCAGTCATCCGCGGGACACGCCTCTTCCTGGGCTACGCACTGGTCATCTTTGAGATGCCGCATCTGCGTGACGTGGGACTACCTGCGCTTGGGGCCGTGCTGCGTGGGGCTGTGCGTGTGGAGAAGAACCAGGAACTCTGCCACCTCTCCACCATTGACTGGGGACTGCTGCAGCCAGCACCTGGCGCCAACCACATTGTGGGCAACAAGCTGGGCGAGGAGTGTGCTGACGTGTGCCCTGGTGTGCTGGGTGCTGCTGGCGAATCCTGTGCCAAGACCACCTTCAGCGGGCACACTGACTACAGATGCTGGACCTCCAGCCACTGCCAGAGAGGTGGGCACTGGCACAGAACATGAGTGTAGGGAACAGAAACAGCAGGGTCACATGGGGCTGGGTGGTCACAGGATGGTATGGCTCAGTACTTTCAGCTGCCACTGTTTTTTAATCCTCACTCATCCTATGAGGCAGGTAAAGAAACAAAGGCTCAGAAAAGTTAAATAACCAATGTGGCATAAGACAGCTAAGGGGTAGGCCCATGATGGCATCATGGAGTAGGTGAAGGACAGGTTCAAGGTGGGCATGGGGGGAAAACAGCAGGCACGAACAGAGAGTAGGCAGCACAAGAAGCAGTGTGCGGCAGTGGTTAAGTCCAAAGGCAGAGGGCCTGGGTTCGAGTCTCAGCTCTACCACTTACTGGCTATGTTCACTTAGCCTCTCTGTGCCACAGTTTCCTCAGCTGTAAAATGATCATTGGGTGTCATGAGGAATGAGATACTCTACAAAGCGTCAGAGCAGTGCCTGGGTCATGGTAGCAGTTCTATGTTCGTACTCAGAGTGGCCACAGCACAGTGTTCCAGGGTCAGCTGGCAGTACTGTAATGGGAGGTTGAGGTTTGGGGTGAGCAGGAGAAGAAAGGAGATGATCAGTGAAGAACTGAACAGGTGACAGCAAAGATGTAAGGTGGTACCTTCAGGATGATGCAAGGAGAGGAAAAAGGCAATAGAGAAAGGAGGAAGGAGAAAAAAGAGGGATGGCTGGTGCAGGAGGAAGCAAAACATTATAGGAAAGGAGAGGAAAACCTTTCAGAGGTGGGGAGCAGATCTGGGGTCCCCCAACCTGGGGATTTTTTCCACTCAGCTCCTGGAGGTCAGCTCCTCTTGCCCCCAGTGCCTCAGCAGCAGGGCAGGTGGGAGAGTAACCAGATCCCTGCTGCATCGGCTGTGCCCCACCTCCCTGATGCCTCCCTGTTGGCTGTAAACACAGCTGCTGCGCATCCTCTCGTGTACAGTGTCAACACGACCTGGCTGACCCCTACCCCACAGATCGTTCCCATAGCCAGCCAGCTGCCACTGTGCAGTTTTTAGGCAATTGGGCCCCCAACCCCAAACCCTCCCACTCCTGCTTGGAGCCACCTCCTGCCTAGGGCGGGGAGCTGAGGTGGGGGCGGTATGGGCAGGAGTGTGGGTAAAACGACGGATGTCGGCCCCTCCTTGCACACACACCCAGGCCCGTGGGCCTAGCTGCTCAGGAGAGGCTGGCCCGCTCACCCTGGCGCCATGCCCAGCCATGATCTGGGCACCAGGCCTAGACAGGATAGACAGGACAGCAGGCTGGAGAGCAACAACCCTGATGGACAAGGTCACTGCTCTGTCCTGAGCTCTGACACCCCCGACTAGGCACTGTGGGAGCTGGGGAGCACAGACAGGGCCACAGTCCTTGTCCTCAAGAATCCCATCAGAGGGGAACAGAGTCGGCTACCAGTGTCATCTGAATGGGAGGGACCTGGGTGCAGATTGAGTGTCATCCCAAGAGAAACAGGGTGGGGCCAGCATTGGAAGGACAGCCAGGACTGAGGGGGCATGGCCAATGTCTAACACACCACTCTCCCCACAGTGTGCCCCTGCCCCCATGGGCTGGCTTGCACAGCGAGAGGCGAGTGCTGCCACACTGAATGCCTGGGGGGCTGCAGCCAGCCGGAAGACCCTCGTGCCTGTGTAGCTTGCCGCCACCTCTACTTCCAGGGTGCCTGCCTGTGGGCCTGCCCGCCAGGCACCTACCAGTATGAGTACTGGCGCTGTGTCACAGCTGAGCACTGTGCCAGCCTGCGCTCTGTGCCCGGCCGCGCCTCCACCTTCGGCATACACCAGGGCAGTTGCCTGGCCCAGTGCCCTTCTGGCTTCACCCGTAATAGCAGCAGGTGAGTGTAGGGAGGGTGGGGGCACCCTGGGAGCAGTGAGGAGGCCTGAGGAGGCCCAAACTGGTCCAAGGCTCAGGATATCTGCTTGCTCCTGCTAGCATATTCTGCCACAAGTGCGAGGGGCTGTGCCCTAAAGAGTGCAAGGTAGGCATCAAGACCATCGACTCCATCCAGGCGGCACAGGATCTGGTGGGCTGCACGCATGTGGAGGGAAGCCTCATCCTCAACCTTCGCCAGGGCTGTCAGTACCTACTTTGGGGCCACACTCCTCCTCCTGGTCATACCCTTCCTCCCAGATACACCCCTTACAATGACCCAACTCAGCACGATTTTCCATCATCCTGGGTCCCAGTCCTGAGGGTCCACCCTCCCGGGGCCCCCATTCAGCCCCCTTGCCCCATGGACCCATCACCTTCCCTGCTCCAGCCCTGTCTTCCCATCCCTAGACAACCTGGAGCCGCAGCTGCAGCACAGCCTGGGGCTGGTAGAAACCATTACTGGCTTCCTCAAAATCAAGCACTCCTTTGCCCTCGTGTCCCTGGGCTTTTTCAAGAACCTCAAACTAATCCGGGGAGACGCCATGGTGGACGGGTAAGGGTTAGGCCTCTGACCAGCTCCTTCTATTACACTCCTTCCTCCAACACTCCCAGAACAGTGGTGAAGAGAATGGGCTCTGGAACCAATTTTGCTACTCACTAGCCGTGTGACTCTGAGTAGGTTAACTTCTCTGGTCTTCAGTTTTCTAATCTGTAAAATAGGGTTAATATAACATTACTTACTTCTTAGGGCTGTTTTGAATATTACTCAAGTTGTTATGTGTAAAACACATAAAACAATGCCTGGAACACAGTATATACAATATAAATTACAGTCACATATAACTCTATAACGGTTGGCTATAATTGTCATCATCTGGTCCTGTCAACTGCAGAGCAAGACTGCCTGGGTTTGAAACCCATTCCTATCACCTGCCAGTCAAGACCTACCTATAATGTAGCCAGGATTTTTTAAAATAAAAAGAATGAGCTGGGTGCGGTGGCTCATACCTGTAATCCCTGCACCTTGGGAGGCCAAGGCAGGTGGATCACTCAAAGTCAGGAATTCAAGACCAGCCTGGCCAACATGGTGAAACCCCATCTCTACTAAAAATACAAAAGAAGTAGATGGGCGTGGTGGCACGTGACTTTAATCCCAGCTACTTGGGAGACTGAGGCAGGAGAATTGCTTGAACCCAGAAGGTGGAGATTACAGTGAGCTGAAATCGTGCCACTGCACTCCAGCCTAGGGCCTAAGTTACAGAGAGAGACTCCACCTTAAAAAAAGAAAAAAAAAAAAGAATGTTTTAAATTACCATCCAGGCCGGGTGTAGTGGCTCCTGCCTATAATCCCAGCACTTTGGGAGGGCGAGGCAGGGGGATCACACGCCGTCAGGAGTTCAAGACCAGCCTGGCCAACATGGAGAAACCCCATCTCTACTAAAAATACAAAAATTAGCCAGGTGTGGTGGTGGGTACCTGTAGTCCCAGCTACTCAGGAGGCTGAGGCAGGAGAATCGCTTGAACCTGGGAGACAGGGGTTACAGTGAGCTGAGATCACACCACCACACTCCAGCCTGAGTGACAGAGGGAGACTGGCTCAAAACATGCATAAATAAACAACCATCCAGGCCAGATGCAGTGGCTCACACCTGTAATCCTAGCACTTTGGCAGGCCGAGGTGGGAGGATCACTTGAACCCAGGAGTTAGAGACCAGCCTGGGCAACATGGTGAAACCCGGTCTCTATAAAAAATACAAAATTAGCCTACCGTGGTGGTGCATGCCTGTAGTCTCAGCTACTGAGGAGGCTGAGGTGGGAGGATCACCTGAGCCCGGGAGGTCAAGGCGTCAGTGGGCCACAATTGGGCCACTGCACTCTGGCCTGGGTGACAGAGTGAGGAAAAAAAACAAAGTTACCATCTAGTCTAGTGGCTCCCTGTGGCTTCTCATGTCTCCAGACACATTGCATGTACCCCAGGGTTGTCCACACCTCAGCTGGAGAGGAATGGCCCAGGCTGAGCACCACTCCTCCTCCTGTCTCCCAAGCCTCCAGAGTCTGGCACATAGCCGGTGCTCAGTTTAAAGAGAGTCAAGGGAAGGATGGGGGCAGGGAAGCTGTGGATCCCATTTCACTGATGAGGAAAACCAAAAGATGGGGTTACTTGGCAGACATCATACTCCTAGTCAGTGGTACAGAGTGGGTATGCACGAATGTCCCCGGTGTGCTGGTGTGAGCCGGCCACTGAGTGCCCCCCTCTGTGGGCTCAGCAAAACCCCTCCAGGAGGAACCCATAAGCCATCCCCTTTCCTACCCGCTGCCCCCACCTCCCTGCAAAGCAAGGTCCCCTGGCCTCCCCCAGGAACTACACTCTCTACGTGCTGGACAACCAGAACCTACAGCAGCTAGGGTCCTGGGTGGCCGCAGGGCTCACCATTCCCGTGGGCAAGATCTACTTCGCCTTCAACCCGCGCCTCTGCTTGGAGCACATCTACCGACTGGAGGAGGTGACGGGCACACGAGGTCGGCAGAACAAGGCTGAGATCAATCCCCGCACAAACGGAGACCGCGCCGCCTGTGAGACCCCAACCCCAGTGCCTGTGGACAAGCGGCCACACACTAGACACGCGCACCCGGGGGAGGGGTGCTCGAGGGAGGACAGCCTGAGAAGTTCTCTTCGTGGTCTCACTGGGAATGGGATGCCGCGGAGTCAGGGTGGGCGCTCAAGCAGCTGGCGGGCGTGGTTGAGAGCAGGCCCCTCTTCCTACCCAGGCCAGACTCGCACCCTGCGCTTCGTGTCCAACGTGACGGAGGCAGACCGCATCCTGCTACGCTGGGAGCGCTACGAGCCACTGGAGGCCCGCGACCTGCTCAGCTTCATCGTGTACTACAAGGAGTCGTGAGTGCCGGGGGCGGGGCCGGAGCGGGGGCGGGGCCGGACGAGGCCAATTTCTTAGGGACCACAGGCAGGTGAGGGCGGAGCTCAGCGAGGCTATGAAGACCCAGGAAGCCAGGACCCCCAAGTTGTACTCCGTGGTAGGGTCCAGGTCTGGCTCTCTTCCCTCACCTTCTTCATGCCTCCGTGCCTCGGTTTCCCCTCACCAAGTGAAATGGAGAAGACAGGGCTTCTGAGAGCCCAGGAGAGCCATCGTGCTGGGAAGGCTTGGATCATTAAACTTCAATTTATTATGCTAATGTTCTACACTGACCACACGCTCCTGCCCCAGCAGCGGTTTGGGGAGCGCCCACTAATTTGGCCAGTTTTATGAGCAGCTCTGCCAGCATTTCATTTAAGCCTTAGGAAGGGAGGGAGCAGGGGCCGCCAGGGACCACACTGCTCTTTTCTTTGGCGAGAGTCAACTGACCCTAACAGTAAGGATAGTGGTTAGACCACAGGAAGAACTTCTCCAAAAACACAGCTAGGAATCAAAAGGAGACATCCTTAGAAGAGGGAGATGGATTTCGAATGCAGACTGAGACGGCAGGAGTAAGGAGTTGATACTCTGTCTCTGATAGGAAGTATAGAAGATGGAGGCCACCTGGCTTAGAAGCATTTCCTGTGAATTAGAATGGAGAGAACTTAGCTGACCACCAGCTCAGGGTCTGGTTTGGGAGGACAGAGGAAGGAAGTCAGTTGTAGGAGACCCACTCAAATGGCCAAGACTCTCCTAGGTCTCAGTGGTAGGTGAAGGTCTCTAGCATGGGCAGCTGGACAGTTTGCTAAATACAAATTCCTGGGCCTCACCCTCACTAATTCTGATTCAGTTAATCCTGAGCAGGGCCCAAGAATCTACATGTCTAATAAGCTCCTAGGAGATGTTGAAGCTGCTGGTTTGTGGACTGCACTCTATGGAGCACTGGCCTGACTACAATGTGAATCTCCCCTGGCTTCCCGGCTTGGGCACTTCACAATCTGCACAACTATACACAGCTGTCTCTGAGCTCATAGAGCAGAGAACCTTGGGAGCCCTTCAAGAAGCTTCCCTAACATCACTGCCTTGCAGTGTGGCTGCAGCTATGCTCCCTCAGAGACACACACTGTAGATCCTGCCCAACCCTGACTCCAAACAGACCCAGACCTGCTCAGTGTGTCATGCCTCACAGGACACCTGCTCCCAAGACACCCACTATGAGCCCCTGCGCACCCCTCCCCAAGATGCTCCTGGACTATCCTGCTTATAGGTCCCAACAAAGGCAGGCACTTCCAGCTGGGCCACAAGTTCCCCCATCACCACCCAATATGACCTCCCTCAAGTTTTGTCCCTGGCTCGACATGAATTCCATCACCCCCTTCCCAAACCAAAGAAACAAATATCATGAACATCAGTGTGATGTTCCATTGTCTCCCGTGGTCTATTCTGCTATCTCCCATGTGGGGCCCACTTTCATCTCCCCCAGGGAGCCCTCTTCTACCCCTAAAGCCAGTGATGCTTCCCCAAGCCCTGCCCCGAAACTGGCCTTCAGGCAGCCAGCACTAGTTGCCTCTGGCCCCTTAATTTCCCTGTGGCAATGGGTCTTGGCCTTTTAGGGTCATGGACATGTTTGGGAGCTGTTGAAGCTAGGAACCCTCTAGAAAATCACACATGCACAAAACTTTCCCTATAGTTTGGGAGGCTCATAAACCTCCAAAGTCAATTCAAGGGCCTAAGTGAAGATACTGGGAAGGGAGCAGTCTCCAGGTCCTGGTTCCAGGCAATTACACTTAGGGGAATTAGGATAACCTCATTGCTTGCTGTTTCTAGGAGAGGGGACTCTTTCACACACACTTTCTTGTTTTATTTATACAATGCAAGATTTGTTCAATATTCATTGAAACTAGAGCTCGATATTCCCTGCTAAGGATGAGGAGATACATCATTACAAATTTTACTGACACAGATATCAAAGGCCGTCCCCTCCCCACCTTTGCCAGGGTCTAACAGGTGGCTGGAGTCATGGCTTTGCCCTCACGCGTACTGGAAGAAGGACAACAATAGTCCTGGAGTGATTCAGTGTGGGGGAGAGGGTGGGGAGGTGCCAGAACTTGGGGGTGGGGTTGAATGACCCCTCAGCTCTGGGGATGGGTGTTCAGCCCATTCCAGAATGCCACAGAGCATGTGGGTCCAGATGCTTGTGGAACTCAGAGCTGGAACCTGCTGGATGTGGAGCTGCCCCTAAGCCGCACCCAGGAGCCAGGGGTGACCCTAGCCTCCCTCAAGCCTTGGACACAGTACGCAGTGTTTGTGCGGGCCATCACACTAACCACTGATGAGGACAGCCCCCATCAAGGAGCCCAGAGTCCCATCGTCTACCTCCGAACGCTGCCTGCAGGTAAGCATTTGGAGGGCACAAGAGTCAGTCAGACGCCTGCATCCATGAGAACAGGGGAGCACAGGCATCAGAAATAGAGAAGCCGCAGCACTGAACACCTGGCCCACAGAGACTGGGAGGCCAGATGCTTGAGTCCTAGAAAGAAGAGGGGGCATCTGCCTAGGTCCTTGCGGGGCTGGGATTGGGACAGTCCAGAGTCAGTAGCTGAGGGAACTGAAGGGCCTATGGCAGAGAAGGGGAGGACAGAAACAAAACAGTGAGTTCTAGGAAGGCAGAGATGAGGATCACCTATTCTTCGGGGGAACAGGGCTGTTGGACCCCAGAGAGAGGGGCTCATTACTAGACAGTATTCAAGAGGAAGCCCCACAACCCCTGAGTTGCATCCTTCTCGCACTCCTAGCTCCCACGGTGCCCCAGGACGTCGTCTCCACGTCCAACTCCTCCTCCCACCTCCTGGTGCGCTGGAAGCCACCGACCCAGCGCAATGGGAACATCACCTACTACCTGGTGCTGTGGCAGCGGCTGGCAGAGGACGGTGACCTCTACCTCAATGACTACTGCCACCGCGGTGGGCAGGGACGACGCGCAGGCCGGCCGCGGGGCGGGTGGGGAAGGGGAGATGGAGGCGCAGGGCCGGGGCAGATGGGGGAATCAGGGGCGGGTAGACGGCCTGTCTTACTAGTGTCTTCCCGCTGCGGCGCCAGGCTTGCGGCTGCCCACCAGCAACAATGACCCGCGCTTCGACCGCGAAGACGGAGATCCTGAGGCAGAGATGGAGTCCGGCTGCTGCCCTTGCCAGCACCCACCTCCTGGTCAGGTTCTGCCCCCGCTGGAGGCGCAAGAGGCCTCGTTCCAAAAGAAGTTTGAAAACTTTCTACACAACGCGATCACCATCCCCAAGTGCGAAGAGCGCTCGCGGCCTGGGCCGGTCTGATGGGTGGGGCCTGTGAGGGGTGGGTCTTACTGGAGGGGTGGGGTTTGTGGGCGGGGCCTTGCTTGTGTGGGCGGGGCCCGGGTTGTGGGTGTTTTGGAGGCAGTGCGCGCTGCAGAGGGCATAGGGGTGCATCCGGACAGGCCTGATAGGGCTACCCCTGGCCTCCCTAGATCCCCTTGGAAGGTGACGTCCATCAACAAGAGCCCCCAAAGGTGAGCAGGACTAGGGTCGGTGCTGAGGGGCGTGGCTTTTGGGGCTGGGCCTTGGCTCTGACTCGCTTTCCCCAGGGACTCCGGGCGGCACCGCCGGGCAACTGGGCCCCTCCGGCTAGGGGGCAACAGCTCGGATTTCGAGATCCAGGAGGACAAGGTACCCCGTGAGCGAGCGGTGCTGAGCGGCCTGCGCCACTTCACGGAATACCGAATCGACATCCATGCCTGCAACCACGCGGCGCACACCGTGGGCTGCAGCGCCGCCACCTTCGTCTTTGCGCGCACCATGCCCCACAGTAGGTGACCCACACACGCACCTTCTATCTCCATCACCGACCCCGAGGACCCTGTGCAAGGGTTTGGGGTTTGACTTCTTGCTAACCCCCGAGCCTCGCTTTGCTTGCTCCTCTCAGTTCCCATAATCCCAAAGCTTTCCCCATCTCCCAGCTCAGCCCAGTTTAGCTTGAGTTTGAACATAAAGTGAGATGAACCACTTTTGGCCTGGCTGCTGGATGCCCCTTCCCGCAGGAGAGGCTGATGGTATTCCAGGAAAGGTGGCCTGGGAGGCCTCCAGCAAGAACAGTGTCCTCCTGCGCTGGCTCGAGCCACCAGACCCCAACGGACTCATCCTCAAGTACGAAATCAAGTACCGCCGCTTGGGAGAGGTAGGCGCCCGTGGGATCCCCATCCCAGTCCCGTTTTGTGCCTCCATCGCCTTCTTAGCCAGCTGTTCTGGGTTACTCCAGGAGGCCACAGTGCTTTGTGTGTCCCGTCTTCGATATGCGAAGTTTGGGGGAGTCCACCTGGCCCTGCTGCCCCCTGGAAACTACTCTGCCAGGGTTAGGGCAACCTCACTGGCTGGCAATGGCTCTTGGACAGACAGTGTTGCCTTCTACATCCTTGGCCCAGGTATACGCAGCCTCTGTCACAGACCTGTATCACCGAAAAGCCCCACCTGGTCCCCAGCCCACCACAAGCCCCTCCCCCTGCATCCTTCCCCATCCTCACCTCCCAGCATGGAAAGAGAAGCATGACCTTCTCTCTGACTTCTACATCTTTGACTCTACCCTCTGCTGCCCTCTGACTGCCAGAGGAGGAGGATGCTGGGGGGCTGCATGTCCTCCTCACTGCCACCCCTGTGGGGCTCACGCTGCTCATCGTTCTTGCTGCCCTTGGTTTCTTCTACGGCAAGAAGAGGTGATGATAAGTCCCACCAGTCCCCACCCCCTTTTCTCCCTGAGCCCTCATCATAAAGTCTGTCAAAGGGAGGTAGATGAGACAGTAGAAAGACAGGTCTTCTGTACAGACAGTAACTCTTCCCCTGCGGTGACATGGAGGAAACATACCTCTCAGCTAGGGTGACCAACTTATCCGGGTTAGCCTGGGATTTTTCTGGTTTTATCAGTAAAAGTTCCGCATCCTAGGAAACCCCTCATTCCAGCCACACTGGGATTGTTGGTCACCACAATCTCAGCGCAAGCTGAGAAATAATAAAGCTGGTCCCTTATTAGGAGGAGAAGCAGGAGGCCTGGGGATGTGTTCCAGAATGCCTGATGTCAGATCCTTCCAAGGCTGACTGCAAGAGGAAAATGGGGCTGGACCTTGATCAGCTTGGCTATAGGGACTAGCTGATAGGGTGGAAGCCCCTTTACTCCTGTATCCTCCCTATTCCCTGTCGGAACCAGGAATAGGGCCAAGGCCAGCTTGGAGGGTACTTAGGGATCCCCAGCAGTCACCCTGACCAAGGCTGGGGGTGTGGTCAGTAACTTCCCTTCTCCTTGAAATGTCCTTCTTCCTTCTTCTGATGTTGCTCATTCCTTCCTGAGAACCCTTCCAACCTGACGCCCTCACCTCCCGTTGCAGAAACAGAACCCTGTATGCTTCTGTGAATCCGGAGTACTTCAGCGCCTCTGATAGTAGGTCTGAGAGTGGGTGGACAGGTGGTATGGGAAAGGGAGACAGGAGAGGAGCAGAGACAGACTTCCAGGAGACCTTCTTGCAGAAGATAGCCTTGGGACAGGAACCCTTCAGAAGAGGAGAAGAGAAGTTGGGGGGTGAGGTGTGGCAGAGAGTGCATCTTTGCTTTGCGACCCTCCAACTCGTTGCAGTGTACGTCCCTGATGAGTGGGAGGTGCCTCGGGAGCAGATCTCGATAATCCGGGAACTGGGCCAGGGCTCTTTTGGGATGGTATATGAGGGCCTGGCACGAGGACTTGAGGCTGGAGAGGAGTCCACACCCGTGGCCCTGAAGACGGTGAATGAGCTGGCCAGCCCACGGGAACGCATTGAGTTCCTCAAGGAAGCTTCTGTCATGAAAGCCTTCAAGTGTCACCATGTGGTAAGGGAGAGCCAGAGGCATTGTCAGGGTCATAATTAGTGTAAAGGTCATGTGGTAAGAAAGAAAGGGTCAGAGATGAGGTTAGGGCACAATTAAGGTCAAGATTGGGACCATGGTTAGGATCCTAATTGGGGTGAAGGTCATGGTTAGGGTTAGAGTCACACAGGGTCATAGTAGGGCCATGGTAGAGTCATGGCTAGGGCTGAGATCAGTCATGATTGGGGCTCAATATTGGGTGTCCAGATCATTACTAGAGTCCTAATTGGGCTCAAGGCCAAAGTTGGGCCAAGTTCATGATTGTGATGATCATCAGATATGATGAAGGTCATGGGTTAGGGTCAGGGTCATTGTTAGGTCAGGAGTCAGGTTATAGTCATGGTTGGGTTTAGGGTCAGATTTGGTGTCTGAGTCAGACTGTGGTCATAGCAGATCAGGCTTTTGGCCAAATGGCTCAATGGGAGCTAGGGGGTTTGCTAGGCCCTTTGTCTGTCCCAGGTGCGTCTCCTGGGTGTGGTGTCTCAGGGCCAGCCAACTCTGGTCATCATGGAGTTAATGACCCATGGGGACCTCAAGAGCCATCTTCGATCTTTGCGGCCTGAGGCAGAGGTAGGGAACAGGAAGACCCTGATCGAGCCCAGGGGCTGGGGGTGAGAGAAGGGTTGGGCACAGTGTGGGAGGTGGGGGTCAGTTCTGGACAGGAGACCAGCCTCTGGGTTCCTTCCTCACCAGCCCCCAATCTTGACTCTAGAACAACCCTGGGCTCCCACAGCCAGCACTGGCGGAAATGATCCAGATGGCTGGTGAGATTGCAGACGGCATGGCCTACCTTGCTGCCAACAAGTTTGTGCACCGAGATCTAGCAGCCCGCAACTGCATGGTGTCCCAGGACTTCACCGTCAAGATCGGGGGTACAGAGGGTGCCAGACAGATGAGGGAAGCCTGAAAAGTAGAGAGATTCCCTTAAGCTAGGCATCAGGAAACCCACAGCCCTGGTCTTGACAGCCTGTGAGACCCTTGGCAAGTCACCCTTACTCTGGATCTTAGTCTCTTGTCTGAGGGCAGAGGGGTTTGGATGGGATGAGCTCTGAGGTCCATTGAGCCCCTACTTTCCAGGGTTCTTGGTGACTCTGGAGGATGAGAAGATTGGGAAAGGTATTCCAGGGGCGGGAGCAAGTGTGTGGCTCTTATGCCCCACACCTCCTCCACCCTCTCCCTCACTTTCCAGACTTCGGGATGACTCGGGACGTGTATGAGACAGACTATTACCGCAAGGGTGGGAAGGGGCTGCTGCCGGTGCGCTGGATGGCCCCTGAGTCTCTCAAAGATGGGATCTTCACCACCCACTCGGATGTCTGGTGGGGCCGAGCTGGAGCACAGGGCTCCAGGGATATGGAGATGGGATCTGGGGAGGGGCCTGGAACACCCCCGTCCCTTGCAGTGTACCAAGCGGCACGAAGAGTGCTGGGCTTAGGAGCTCCTGCATGCCCTCCAGGTCCTTCGGTGTGGTACTCTGGGAGATTGTGACCCTGGCTGAACAACCCTACCAGGGCCTGTCCAATGAGCAGGTGCTCAAGTTTGTCATGGACGGCGGGGTCCTGGAGGAGCTGGAGGGCTGTCCCCTTCAGCTGTGAGTCACCTCCCCTGCCCCTTCCTCATTGCTGATCTACCTACAACCCTCCCCCACCCGGCCCCACGATTCTGGCTCACCTCCTCTGCTGCTTTGACATCCACTGACCCTCAGTTATGAGTGCCCCCCGTTCCAAACCCCCACGACTCCCATTTAATCCCTTCTCACTCTCCCAGGCATAATGGCCCACGATCCCCACTCCTACCAACTGACCCTCAGTGCAGGAGGCTGAGAGTGCGGCAGGGGCTCCCGGATGCCTCTGACCCTGCTCCCCACACCCACCAGGCAGGAGCTGATGAGCCGCTGCTGGCAGCCGAACCCACGCCTGCGCCCATCTTTCACACACATTCTGGACAGCATACAGGAGGAGCTTCGGCCCTCCTTCCGCCTCCTCTCCTTCTACTACAGCTCGGAGTGCCAGGGGGCCCGGGGCTCCCTGCCTCCCCCCGATGCAGAACCTGACTCCTCACCCACCCCAAGAGGGGCTTCATCAGACTGCAGCCCTCAAAATGGGGGTCCAGGGCACTGAGGGGCACCCCATTCCCTGGCTGGCTGGCCTCCCATGGGGAGAGAGGAAGGGACCCGACCTCTGTGGCTGAGAGGTCTGAATGTTCACCCCCACCCCCACTCATGGCAAGGGGTGGCCGAGGGTGGGGCAGAGAACAGGAGCAGGGGAGACTGTGGGGGTGGGCAGAGGGGTCTCACCATAGGAGCTTCTCAGACTCTGAGTCCCTCGGGGGAAAGCAAGCAGGGTCAAAGCCAGAGGAGTGGAGATCAGGCCAGGGACAGACGTCCTGCCCTCAGAGAAAGGGACGCCACTCAGACTAGGAAGAGGGGGCCCGCCCACCCTAGAGGTCCTGCCCCTCAGTTTGGGGTCTCCTGTGGACAGGTAGGGCCATTGACATGTTTGAAATTAGATGAGCAATCAGAAGCAGGCCTGGGGCGCTCTCCATGCATGTGTGGGAGGCGGGGTGGGGGGTCCACATGACTCCCTTGCTTGCCACTGCTTTTCAGCTCCTCCCCTTAGCTCCGCTGACCAGGTGGCGTGGGGAGAACCCAAAGGCCTGCGGAGTGGTTCCCAGCCTGCCTGCCCTCACCTCCTCCTCTCCTCTTGCCCCGCCCAGGGCTCCCCAAGCTTGGTGCTCCTTCCTCCTTTCTTCCAGGGGCATCCCTTGGAGTATAGTCACCCTTTCTCCAGTCCCTCCCCTCAATGATTAGCCCTGGATGCTTAAGGCTTTCAGAACCTGGTCTTCCTCCCTCCCCTCACCCTCGCCCAGCCCCGCCCCCACTCCTGCCTCTCATGGGAAGACTGGAGAAGGCACAATAAATGCCGAGGCCTGTTTGTACCCTGGTCCCAGGCAGCCATTATCTCTCCATCTACATGGTGTTAACACTAGATGAACTTCCTTTCTCCCTCCTCTGGGACTCGAGGTGGTGACCCTAAGGCAGAGACACAGGATAAATACACTGCTGTCAAACACCACCTCCATGAGGACCCGAGCAGCCAGGGTTGCCATGGCAGTGAGGCAGAACAATTTGCAATTATCTCCTGCTCAGGACCAGGAGTGGTTGAGCCCGGCAGGGAACCTTTGTGTCTGGCCTCCAAGCAGAACCAACCTGTCCCCAACATCTCATCTTAATTTCATCCCTTGTTATGTCTGTTATATCGTCCACTGGATAGGTATTTTCTGGAGTGTCACAGGACACACTTTAAGTGGTCAGACATGGGGCAGGGGAGAGGCCCTGATGACATCACCTGTTCATGCCAGATGCCCCCACCCAAGCCAGGGGACACACAGCAGAGCAGGGTCTGTGCGTCTGGCACCCTGTGGTTATCCTGGGAGGCCAGAATCTCAGTGTTCATCTGACACACCATTGAGGCATGTGGATGTTGCACAGGAGAGTCCGTTCCCAGGTTTTTCTGCCAGTGCCATGAGGGCATTTGAGAGGGAAGGTTGCAAAAGAATGACTTCAAACCTTGACGAAGCGGGTGGCAGCAGGAGGGGCTGCCCAAGGCTCAGAACTCTTTAGCTTCCTGCACCCAAGGGCTTGGGGTATAGCTGCTGTGCCACACACATGCCATGCGCTCTGGGTCTGGTAAGATGAGCCCTTCTGTGCACCCTTGCTCACGCCCGCCAGCAGCTGTCCTGCAAACCACAGCTCCCTCACACCAGAGTGGAGTGGGCACAAGTCTGTGTGAGGCCGTCTCTGTGACAACTACCCTGTTATCCCCACAGGGTCAGGGTGGGCAGTAAGGACCACCTGTGTGGAGCCCCACCCCGCCCCTGCCCCGCATTGGTGACTGAAGCAACAGTGACCCCTAATGGTTACCAGCAGAACTGCAGCTAAGGGAGAAAGTTGGGGAGTTTGGGCTTCCCTACCTTCTGTTGCTGGGTCTCTGAGAGGCTTCCAGGAGGGTGGAAGGGTGGAGAGACTCCACGAAAGCCCTGGCTCTGAGACCTGCACACTCACACAGAGCACACAGGCACGCCTGCATTTGCAAACGCCCACAGGGCAGCAGTGGGGTCAACCCCTCTCCCCACCACCTATGCCCCCTAACCCTCACAGTGCTGGTCGTCTGGATGTGGAAATGCTTAAGGAAGGGATTGGAAGTCAAAGAAAAGAGGGCTTCATTAATATGCCATCGGGGCTGCATCTGCAAAGATGGGCAGGTGGTGGCTGGTCCAGAAATACTTCTGGGGGAAGGATGTAGGGATGCTAGGAAACAAGCTCTATTGCTGTCCAAGTCCCAGAAAAGAAGTGGATTTAAGTAGGTAGCAAGATAGATGGAGGTTGGACTTCAGGAGGGACTTCCCAACGCTACAGGGAAGCTTTGGGGAGGGAAGACATGTCTCCTATCTGAGAGACAGTTGCAGACAGACAACAGGTTGACCTGGAGAAGGAAGGAAGGACACCTACCACAGAGGCAGAACAGTAAATGCAGCGACTAAAATCCAGAAACACCCATCTTGGTCCCCCACCTCGTCCCCAGATTCAGAGAGAACTCCAGAAAAAAAAAACAAAAACAAAAACAAAAAACCTGTGGCTGGTTGGGAGAAGACAGCTGAACGTAAAAGAATGGCATGTTTACCATCCATCCCTCAAAACTGTCCCTGTGGCCTTGTGGCAGATCCTCCACCCATGGGGACTATGGATCTCATACCCTACCCCCTCTAAGCTCAGGAACAACTGATGCATCTTTGTAGGGGCCAGGAGAACAGGTTGCAGTTCTCTGGGGAGAGAGGCCCAGAGGCCTGGGGGAGGAGGTGGAAATGGCCTGAAGTCAGGTGAGCTGTGCCACTGAGCCAGTCCTCGGTGGCAGCGAGATGAGGCTCCTCTTCCTCTGGGCTCACAGTTATTCTTCCTCTAGGCTCTGGCTATGGAGCAGAGGGTTGTTCCTGGCTGTCACCAAGTAGGAAGAAGAATGGGGTAAAAGGACATGAGAGCTCAGCTTCTGACACCTGATTTTACCAACGTCTTTTATCCCGCCCTGTAATACCAAGCTCCAAGTCCCGGGAACTTGGACGGCAGAGTGCCAGGTCTCAGACGCCCAGCCAAGGGGCAGTCCTGGAGCAGACACTTTGGACCTTGCCCTTGGCCCAGTGTCGACACACTGTGGAAGCTCCTCCCCTGGTCCATTAGGTGTTTGACATCTTCTCCAGGTTCTGTTGAGGGCTAAGGACAAAGGGGATGTTAGTATGTGACCGCCAACCCACAGCGAAGGTCTTCCTGCTTCCAGCCAGAGGCTCCCATGCACAACTCCTCAGGCCACCACCACCTGCTCCCAGCGGTGGGACTGAAATTTTGGTCTCCTCCCAGCCCTGTGAGGTCAACTGACAAAGTGCTGACACTCCCTGCCCACCCCCTTTCTTTGCACAGGAGGCACAGAGCTTGAACCACCTGGGTCATCTCCTGGTCATCCACCATGAAATTGAGCCCCTCTGGGTTACTCGTCCAAGGGCCCACTAGTAAGTGATCACTAGGGTGGCACCATCCACTGCTGGAGAGGGTGGGGAATGTAGCATCCTCTTGAATGTGTGCCAAATAAGGAATCCAGGTGGGCGGAGCTGGGGATGGGTTTAGTGCAGATGATACTCGGTGAGCCCCTGGACCCTGGATGCAAAGCTGAAGTGGTGCTTGGGGAGCCCTGGCACATAGTGCACAAGGTACCTTGTGAGCCCCTGGTACACAGTTGGAGCCCAAGGTGCTTGGTGAGCCCCGGATGCACAGTCTGACGGGAAGGGCACTTGGTGAGACAAGAGCTGGAGATCAAGTCCTCAGCTGCAGCTGATGCCTGACTGAAGCACGCTCTTTAAAGGGGCCACATGGCTCAGAGTTCTGATGTCCTTGCTGTTGAAAAGTGGCCTGGCCGGGCGCGGTGGCTCAAGCCTGTAATCCCAGCACTTTGGGAGGCTGAGACGGGCGGATCATGAGGTCAGGAGATCGAGACCATCCTGGCTAACACGGTGAAACCCCGTCTCTACTAAAAAATACAATCTATGAGTCAAACTCCCAACTAGCTGGGCAACGTGGCGGGCGCCTGTAGTCCCAGCTACTCGGGAGGCTGAGGCAGGAGAATGGTGTACACCTGGGAGGTGGAGCTTGCAGTGAGCTGAGATCCGGCCGCTGCACTCCAGCCTGGGCGACAGAGCCAGACTCCGTCTCAAAAAAAAAAAAAAGTGGCCTGATGGGCCATGGGGCAACTGTTCAGAGTGGGTGTGGCGAGGGGTGGGGTGATCCCTGGGTGTGGATATCTGGATTTCCCTAACTCTGAAGTATTTGCCCTTCTCCAAACCCAGGAGATCTAGACCCCTGCCTAGGATCTTGGCTAATTGCATAGCTTGTCCAGCCCCAGCTTAGATATGCTCTTCATTCAGCCCTGTGAAATATGCTCCTCATTCAGTCCTGTGAAGGCAGCACATCTGAATGGTTTGGCCTCCCCGACTTAGCAGGCCCAGAGTTGCAGGCAGAGTCTAGCCTCTCCCCGGCGTCATCACTCCCACCATGAAAGAGGAGGGAGGAGGGAGGGGCATAAGGGAAGCACTCACAGGATGAAGGTAGGACTGAAGTTCCAGGGCCAAAAAGTGAGGCTAGTTCAGGGACAGAGGGCATTCCTTCTTGTCTCTCTCCCCACCTTCTCCTTCCACACAGAGGGAGGTAGCTGTCAAGCACCAAGGCCTCTAGATGTAAGAGGGAGGACAAGAAAGAATGGAGATGCCAGGTAGGTCATGAGGAGAGAAAGAAACAGAGTGGGGTGTGGGAGAGAGAGGCAGCGGGAGGCAGAAAGGAACTCAGAAACGTCCCTATGCACAGCTGTAGAAGCTCTGAGGACACCCCGGGACATTTTACCCAGCCCTGCCCCTTTGATGTCTGTGGGTCTGTCCCCCAACCCTCCCCACTTGTGAACAACAGGGGGACTTTCTGCTCAGTCATTTCCGGAGATGAGACAGGTCCCATCCTGGGGGCCCGCTCTGGCTCTCAGCTTCCCAGGTGTGTCACGCTGTGTCTTAAGCAGAACTGGACAGGAGAAGCGGGGTGGGCAGACACGCAGGAGGAGACAGGGGAGGATAGATGAAGCAGGGAAGACGAAGGTGGCAGCCAGGAGGAAATTCTGAGACTATGAAGAAAGATTCCCAAGAAAATGAGACAAAAAGGACAGAAGTTGACAGCAGGGTCAGACAAGAAGCGGAGAGGGAGAAGGGGCCTGGCCAGCATCCCCCCCTAGATGGCGGCGACTTCCGGGGCATGGGAGGTACAGGTGTGAAGGAGGCAGGGGTGCCTCTTTTGGAAGCAGAATTTCCTAGGGGAGAGGCCTTCATGCTGGAAGGCCAAGAGCTGAAATAAGATAATGGATGCCCAGTGCTTTGTAAGCTATAAAGCACTATACAAATTATTGTCATTGTTATCTGGTTGTGATATCATTTACAAAGATATTGCAGAAGTACATTTAGTGACATGGAAAGATGGCCACGATGAACTGTGGCGTGAAAAGAGCAGGTTACAAATAATATAAATGATGCCATTTTTTACATTTCCACGTACAGATTCAGAAAAAAATATCTGGAAGCATAAATATGCATCTGGGTGATGAGTTGTGGATGATTTATATCTTCTTTTTGCTTCTCTGTATTTTCTCTTTGTGTTTTTTAAGGAACATACATTATTCATGCAGGGAAAAACAAGCAGTTTGCTTTGAAAAGAACAAGGCTTCCTGCCCAGAGGTCTGGGCTCAGGATGAGTGAACAGAGACTTACAGCCCCCCGCTCTGCCTCCTCACTACCTGGGTGCGTACTACAGGCTGTCTCATACATACTCTCCAAGAAGAATTTTTTCCTCCATGTTTTAG